GACCTTAATTGCCTGATGTCAATATACAGATGGGACTATGAAACATATTACAAACAATCTAGTTCCCATAACCAATGTTCAGCATACATAACAAGAATAATAAGACATGCTTGTTTTAACATAATTACACCGAGGCAGTTTTCACATGGAATTTAAACTCAAAACAGGCAGACTGGCTCAAGACTTACAGATGAATTATACATCAGAGACAGGCATTAAAGCGAACCCGTGAAAGTCGATCCCTGAGTTTTCCGACAGCCTATTTGATCTATATAATGTTGTAATCCCATTTCTAATACATTTATTCATCTCATTTCAAAGCAAAATAATAAATAATGACATTCTATCCAATCTGACCAATATGTCAGGTCCCACAGCATGTTGGTTTATATAGATTTTACTTCAAATACACAACACTATATTTTGTCGATTTGTAAAGCACAACATTGTATATCACGTATTCAAAACAATATCATGTAAAACAAAATACCAGTGGCTTTGTTAAATATTATTTCTTACTGGTGAATATTTGCGATGATGATTTTCCCATGCCTACCTCCAAACATGATATACCTAACTATACATTATTGTACATTTTGGTTGTTATGGCAACCCATTTCATTTGTTATTCCAATTACTCTGAAAACACTGAAGACTCATCAGGAAATCTGACGTTGTATACATTGCAAACAAAAACAAAATAGATAGGAATGATTGTCTTGGTATCCACTGTACATGTATGCCAGGAACATGCATAGACACAGGGCGGCTAAATTTGTTCATTAATAAATGGTTTATTCAAATTGTGTCCGTGCTTATTGCTTTTGATTTCAAGATAGTATATACATGTCTCTTTTTTTCGTTAAACAATACAATCCTATAACACTTAGTTTTATTCGGACAATGATGTCATTAAAACTGTAAGAACTAATACTTATCTTAAGATATCTTAAGGCCCTGTTAATCGACACAGTAGTGAACCATGTAGTCAACTGATCACTAGGTCACAGTGGTGAACCATGTAGTCAATTGATCACTAGGTCACAGTGTTGAACCATGTAGTCAATTGATCACGAGGTCACAGTGTTTAACCATGTAGTCAATTGATCACTAGGTCACAGTGGTGAACCATGTAGTCAATTGATCACGAGGTCACAGTGTTGAACCATGTAGTCAATTGATCACGAGGTCACAGTGTTTAACCATGTAGTCAATTGATCACTAGGTCACAGTGTTGTACCATGTAGTCAATTGATCACTAGGTCACAGTGTTGAACCATGTAGTCAATTGATCACGAGGTCACAGTGTTGAACCATGTAGTCAATTGATCATTAGGTCACAGTGGTGAACCATGTAGTCAATTGATCACTAGGTCACAGTGTTAAAACCATGTAGTCAATTGATCACTAGGTCACAGTGGTGAACCATGTAGTCAACTGATCACTAGGTCACAGTGTTGAACCATGTAGTCAACTGATCACTAGGTCACAGTGGTGAACCATGTAGTCAATTAATCACTAGGTCAGTGGTGAACCATGTAGTCGCGTGTTACTGAGACACCATGTTGAATCGTGTAGCTGCCTGTAGCTACATCACAGTGATGAACCATGTAGTCGCTTGTCATTTATTCAGTGTTGTACCATGTGATCGTGTGTTACTTAGACTCAATGGTTAATCATGAAGTCGCTTGTAGTTACGTCACAGTGATGTCAAGTAGTCAAATTGGTGAACCTTGTGACCATATGTTACTGAGGCACAATGGTGAACCATGTAAATGCTTGTAGTAACGTCACAGCGGGGAAATATGAAGTCAAAATGTTACTGGCGGTACATGAAGACATTTGCCTTTTGGTCAAAATTTGTACAGCATTGTACTATGACTCTTCAGTTCGTTCAGATTCGACCCCTGGTAGTTTGGGAAAGTTAGAGATTAAAACAAATATCTATATCTATGTGTCCTGTTCTCAAAATATACCCTAGTGTATAATCATCGTCAGAGATATACCGGTTAGATATTCAAAGTAAAAGCATGAAAATTACACCTTTATACACATCCTATTAGCTAACAACCATATAAGCAACAATTGGACGAGATGATACTAAAACCCAGTCACGTACCCAAGCAGAGTTTGGCTTATTGTATTCACGTTCTATACACACAAGTTTAAAATCCTTTTCCCATGACAGTGATTCACGTTTTCAGTAAATCAATTTCTTAGTATTTATCATGCACTGATATGAATCACTTAAATAGTATAAAGGTTTCGTTCTACATTATGACCAGATTTAAATACATGTAATATTTAAATGAAAATAAAAAGACGAGACATTTCAAATTTAACAACGCATTCTTTGTTATCAACGCATGCACACAAATTTCAATGAATTAAAAAAATCCTAATTGTAATTATGGAAAAGATTTTTAAAGTTGATAATACCTATTTCAAATATTTTCATGAGAAACAGCAGAATTTCTTATTGTATAATAGACTCTCGGCTCGTTGTAAAACGTACATGTGCTAGGCTTACTACAAAATACGGTGTTCGTTTAGTTTATTCTGTGTGATCTGAGTGAAAGATAATTCACAACACATGTCAAGTAAATAGTAGGTTCAGATACCAATTATAAAATGTGTGTCTTCAAGCATCTTGTAGTTTTTATAGCTGCGAGATAGGTGTATGAAGGAATTGTTCTTGTCTGTGTACTAATCATTCTTCAACCACGTTCATATATATATGTAGTGTTGCAGCAGTTTCCCTTGTACCGAAACCACTTCCGTGTTATATACTGAATATTTGAGCGTTGCAGAGTGTATGGAGAAGTTGGCAGGTGAGATAGGGTTATCGCTCAGGGACACATTTCTGGGTTGGGGTGTAGTTTAAACATGAGGTGAGGTTCGACGATAGGTAAGGTAATTGCGTAAAAATAAAATGTTGGAATTGGGGATATTCTAGCAAGAGATGAGCCACAGTGCAAGAGTTAAGTACAATACATGGATGGGATATTTCGGGAGAGTAGTCAGGGTTTTTATTTATCATAGTGATACAATAAAGCAGAGATGGGATATATTCATGGTGTGGAGTCGATTTCTCAGATAAAGTCCAGTCATGGTATTGGTGCAACTCTGATCTGATATGGGATGTCGAATTAATAGTACGTAGCGACAGGACGGGGAAGACAATTTGCAGAAAAGGGGTAGGAAATAGAACAAACGACACGGTTTCTAAAGGGAGAGAGTAATAAAGAGGACGGAATGAGGGAGGAGAATGTTAAGACGAAGAAGACATGGCTACGATAGGAAAGTGAAAGCGAAGGGCGAAAATTATCATGGTGGAATATCATGGGTAGAATAGAGAGATCCAATAAAGGAGAGAAAATCTGTAGCGATATGATAGATAGGTAAGTTAGAGTGGTGAGATAGATGGGTAGAATAGAGAGATCCAATAAAGGAGAGAAAATCTGTAGCGATAGGATAGATAGGTAAGTTAGAGTGGTGGGATAGATGGGTAGAATAGAGAGATCCAATAAAGGAGAGAAAATCAGTAGCGATAGGGTAGATAGGTAAGTTAGGGCGGAGGGATAGATGGGTAGAATAGGAAGGTAGTATACAAAGATAGGATAGAGAGACAGCACACAGATATAACAAAGAGAGGCGGAATTAACGTTATATAAGGAGGATATAGGAAAGGTAGATATATGGTGACAGAGAAGGGAAGGAATAGAGACAGAGTGGATACATGTAGGATTAGGCAGTAGGTAAGAGAAATATCATAAGGATAAATAATGTATGATACTCATAAATAAAAAATAAAAAGGAAACAATAAAGGTGGATACACAGTAGTATATCGGAGAAATTAACACAGTAGGAGGAAAGGCCGATCATGATATATGTAGAAATTTATGAGACAAATGAGCAGGGAGGCGGCTGGATATAGCTCAGGAGGAATTTGTATGGGGAAAATACGGTCAAATGGGTTTGAAGGGAGGTATTAATGGCAGGTTAAGTGTGTTTCAGATTATTTTTACTTAAAAAGTGGTGAAATAGGCTAACCTCCATTAAAGCTACATACACCCCCGCAATCACGTAAACCTGCCAATTAATGTGCCGGGGGAATCCAGATCTTCCGCAGCTCTATTGCCACTACAGTGAACACGGTACAGGACAGTTCGATAAACACACCTGTTACTATGTTTACAGATCATTATCATCTCAACAGCTGGTCACATCCTAACCTGCATCTGAATCCACAGATGTATGTATATTCATGAACTAATTTTAAAATAATATCGATACTAGATTTTAACTCTGTATTGTGACACTAACAGTGAATCTACAAAATATCAAACAGATCCCTGAATATATTGCAATCGTTCGGTTCGGTCTTAAATTTATTTTCTATAAAATAGTTAAAAATAAACCACAAAAATGCCGCTGGTATTACGCAATATGTCGGCGTGAGATGACATGCGTGTTAAACTTCAATTAAGTGTTCAGGATAGTGTAACAGGTACTACCATATTCCCTCATCCCCCTAACAACTATATCATATTACCATCAGAATAATTGTACGGCACACTTAAATGATATCATAAATTCCAAGTATACTGGTTCTTATTAGAAGAATGGGAAACACTTTAATATTTCTGCAGACGTCTTTGGTGAAAAATAAGGTTTAAAAAACACAGCTGAGTAACAGTTATTAGGCTTATGAAGGTTCATTAAACTTGATGAGTAACAGCTATACAAAAATGGAACTGTCTATAGATGGAGTTTAGGCACTAATAGGATACGGACTATAATAAGCCCCGTTCTTGGGTGGTGTTTCGTAATGACTACACGTGAACATAAATCGTTTCCCGATTAGTGTATAATTATGATGTGTGCAATATGTTCCGAGTTCAATATAGCATTGCATCCATATTTTGAGACTGTTGAATGTTTCCAAGCATATCACCTAACGAACTCTCTCCGATGTCACAGCTAAGAAAAGACTTACCTAGCCAGCTTCGGTCCAGGTAGATGGCCACAAAGGAAGGGGGAATAGTGAAGTAGTCCACAAAGGAGAACAGCTCCAACCAGAACCATAACTTGTCGTTGGCTGCCACAAACTGTAATAGAGAAGAAAAGAAAAAAAGAAAAAAAAAAATTAAGAACATATTTTTTCTTTTTTTCTTTGCGTATTGCAGAGTTATCTTCTCTTGTGAGCAGGTATTGATTGTTACGTCATTGGTTTGTGTGAGAAAATTACGTCGTTTTCTCAAAAAAAATGATGACATTACTCTCAAAACCAAATGACGTAACAATCAATACCTGCTCCCAAGTGCAGATAACTCTGCAGTACGAAAAGACGGAATATGGAAATTAACGCATTAATTCGAATTCAATGTATGTACATTATTTAACAATTTCTCTATACTATTGTAGCCAGCCCGATCTCGCTCATTGGTACCTGATTGGTATTAAAAAAACATTAAATTTCAAGTCAGAGTTCGGATGAATACATCGCTATGAAATTTTGCAGGAAGTGACACGTGTAGTTATCTAGACATATCGAACGAAGTAGAAATAAACTAGCATAGGTTGTTACATAGGATAGCGTGGCTTATGTACCAGAAAACGAAATGCCTGACTTCTGTGACTCGAAAAGTCATTAATCTATTATTCATCTTTTTTCCATAACGGCAGGTGAAAAGGCCAAAATACAAATATATCTATGAACTACAGATATTGTTTTTCGGGTATTCTGCATGTTTGATATTGTTTACAGGGAAAATAGCAACCTTAGTTGCATGTTAGGGATAGTCAGGGTCTCTACCTACCACTTTATATAGCGTTTTACATGCCAGAGAAATGCATTTACGTATCATATTAATAAAGTCCTTGACTACAAGATAAACTCGTCAACATTCCAATCAGCATTATTCCTCATTGTTGATCCGTTAACCCCTAGATCGGTTGTTTATCAAGATAAGCTTGATTACAGGTACGGTACGTTAATACCTGCACGCGCCCTACCTGGATTAATATTCCTGATATACAACTATTATTAACAATTAAGTGACTTTGTGGAGATTATCGCAAATAATGCCCCGGTGTTTGATCCGAGTATTAATAAAAATCAACTTTCATTTCGCAAGTTTTAACGGTCGGTACTCTTTAAGATTTCGGTACAAATGTACTAGTATTATTTGGGTAGCGTTACTCTTGTACAAAGATATTTTCGCGAGAAACATTTTTGCCATCATTCGCACGGCAGTCGGTCGTACATTTAACTTCCTCACATATAATAATTGAATAATCCTTAAATAAGGCACACACTAAATAGCTAATAAAAACTCCAAGACTTCAGAACCATGCAAATAAACTGTTTCAAGAATAATTGCCAAAACAAACAGTTGAGTTTTCCAGTACAGAGAAAAACCTTGCTATTTTGCCTTCATTTGTTCTTTGCGTATTGAGTTTTTGCGTTATCAAGGGACTGGCGATAAATCGAAGGAAACGTATAAATCAATTGTTAAAAGAAGATGATGTAATATTGAATACAACACCAAATGTATATTTTAAAATAAGGGCAAGCGCTCGAGGTATGAAAATGACACACATGAATCTTTCTCGGAATCTACTGTGATTCATGTCCAGACCCATATGCATGCACCCAGGGTGCGTTTACATGATGACGGTAAATTATTTCTTCATTAAAGATGAACGTAAGAACGTAAGTGACTGCATGTATAACATGCGGTTATGCCGTTTGTCAATAATATTATTATATTAATGATCGCCTTTCTAGGATTCATCGGTGATGCTAGGGGCAAAAAAAGTTGGAAATCCAAATTAGCCTAAACTATTGATGAATAGAAGGGAGGGGGGAGGGGGGGGGGGGGCGTAAAAGCCCGTTAATGATAAGAATTTCAAACACGAGAAGAGTACCGGTATTTTGTTAAGAACATTTAATACTTACCCTTAAGAACATTTAATACTTACCCTTATAAAGAAATAGATGAGGAAAAACACGTTGAAGGCGAGGTCAACTTGCTGCCGCGGACTTTTTGCCCAGGGTTCGCAGGTTTCTACTTCCTCCCTGTAAATATAACATTCAATATACGAAACGTCTCGATAACCCAATGGAAAAGGACGTTATTCAGAAGACAGAATAACTTTAATTCTAAAACATCATACATTAGTGTGTAAAACATCATACATTAGTGTGTAAAACATCATACATTAGTGTAAAACATCATACATTAGTGTGTAAAACATCTTATTAAGCAGAAACAAAAACAAAAGAAAACAAGAAAAGAAACCTCATTTTGAATTGAGGATCATTTTTGACTACATAGAAACAGAAACAAATGATATTAAATAGTAGAGTATACTGTAGTTCTACACCATTTCATTCACTTTTAAAGAGAGCTGTCAGCAAGCCATTAGCTAATGTGAGTCCATTCCCAAGGTATTTCTGTCGGAGTAAGCAAACTTTTGATTAAATGAACCAGAACAGGTAACTGATCTATATAGTTAACACAGATTGGTCAAGATGACCTCTTCGGCCTAGGATTTACGTAGTTGATCCCGATACCAGACACCATTTCGTTATCAATTATACAACAAACCCTTTCGTAAGGTTGCATGCTAGCCTTCCCTTTAGTTCAGCTTGGAGCAGCTGGCTGTGAAAGTTGTGTCTTAAAAGCACGAACAATATCCCTAATTAACGCCGGAAAGGGGTAAACATTTCTGCTGTTTTAAAAGGTCAACTTCAATGACGTCAGTAAAATTAATTATTCTCCATGTTATGTACTATGAACGGTTTCCGCCATTTCAGCTACTTTCGTGTTGAACCAATCATGAAAAAAAATCGATACTCGCATGGAATATATAGCCAATCTTATGCGAGAATTTACTTATTACCATAATTCGTCCCACGTACAAAAATACATATACTGCTATCTTCATATTTAGCTTGATAAGAAATACATTTCATATGTATGCTGCATAACATTCCTGTGATACTTTTTTAATTTTGTATTCTAGGCTTCAGAACATGTTTAGGAAGTTGTGAATGATTGAAATAAATACATATAAACCCATAAATGAATAAATAATTAATTTTAAGCGGGTGAGTTGACGTTTTGATAAGTAAAATTCAAAGCGGTTAATTAAACATTGATTACAGAGCTGATTTCGGCATAAAAAGATAAATGAATAAAAAAGAATAGTCATCCTTCATTTTTTTTTATTTTTCAAGCTATTTCAGAAGAGTTTTAAAGAATTTTACTCTAATCAACACTAGTAATTCGGAGATCTAACACCGACGATAATGAAACATTGTTCGTGTACATTGCAAATAATTAACTAGCTTTTACAGACTGATGTTTTTTTTTAGCCGACATTTCCCTCCCACTTCGGTCGTAGGGAGATTGAAGTGGTAGCTACATGTGTCAATGATGAAATCAGGATAGATTACAAACATCCCTGAGTAGCACTGATCGTCATTTGTACTGGGAACCTATAGCGCCATAGTCCTCTAAATCACACAGAATGTCCTCGCCTAACATACAATGTACTAGGTCGAGACCCAACCAAATCAGCAACACCTGGTAACAACACTCGGAGCATGTAGATCCCGAAACATATAATGGTCTTTGTGTTAATCTCTGCATAGCTTATATACAAGGTATCTGGTATATGGATATCAACCTGTGGGTGTTTTTCTCTTGGCTAGTACCCGAAGGAAGATATTTGTATCAACTCTATGTGTGCAAAGCTGTAGTATTTTGCATTGCATCTCGGAAGATAATCGCATGTTGATCTGCCTTTGTCTACATGTTGATGTCATGAACAAACACATCAAAAAGTAGTAAGGCATCCTGTACTGTACAACAAGCAATGGCCAGGATGATCTGTCTCCGTCATTCTCGTCCAGCACTATAACGGCACATTTAACCTTAGGTCGAATATATCTAAAATATTATTAATGGCAGTAATACATTCAATGTTAAACCAATGAAACAAACGCTGAATTAAAAGCACAAACGTGTTGTTATATTCAAGGGCAATAACTCAGACGGAATAAACTCATACAGTTTATATTTACAGAAGCATGTCGTAAGTGCTGATATATACCATCAACTAATGTTGGAAGCAATTACGTGTGTCAATTAAAAAAATGGTTACATAACAAGGAAAGTAAACCTTCAGGTGATAACAACTGTTGAATGTGTGGGTCAATCATTTTCTACACAGGCATCTATTTTTTAATTACTAAGCAACATAACGTTAATGATCAGGACTCCAAAATGGGTCAACATAATGAACTACTTTACAGAGTACAGTCATATCTGGATATGCGTCAACTTTCTCAAGGAAGAGCTCTCTTTTACGAAATTCAATAAACTCTCGTCCAAAACGCAATGTTTGAACACTTTCGTGTGAATGGGTTATTAAAACAAATGTTTTTTTTAATTGCCTTGACAAACTCCACACGGCAGATAATGAAATATGATGCAACGAACTGATGACATTTGATGTCTTATTTACGCTATACATGTTAAAGGAAGTGTGTTGTGTTACCCGCTTCCACATTAATTTGTAATCAGACATGGGTTTATCTTACCATTTCAGATTAATGGCATGGATTTTTTTTGAGCGATATGGCATATATTTTAGTTGACAAATAATAAGTTTAGCCAATTAGACATTTAATATATTTTAGCCAACCAGACAAGTGGCATATATTATCCAATCAAAAATGAGAAACTTGTTTAGCCTGATAGAATATTGACATTTCAGCGAATTAGACATGTGGCATATATCTTTAGTCAATCATATAAGAGACATGTATTTTAACCAGTCAAACTAGCGACATGTCTCGACAATTAAGACACGTGACATACATCATTTACCAAATCAATCAAGTGGCATCTGTTTGAGCTTTCATGTAGAAAGATATATGTTTACACTAAGGAATTAGATAATGTTACTAATGAAATAATATGGCCATTAATTTTCATCCTTATCACAACAAATCACAAATTTAACATACAAAATGTGTCTAGCAACGTCAGGAGGATACAAGCCACAGAATCTAAATAAAGTTATCTCGTTGATATGTATAACATTACATTGTTCGAAGTCACTGTCCTATGTTATTCACAGCATTACAGAGACGTCATTATTATCAAGTTATTTTTAGGAAAACAGGATGCCAAGCTGTTGTGGAATTCTATGAATCACGAAAATTGCCTCCCAATGTACTTGAGTGCTATACTCAATGTATGCCATAGCATAAGGCGGCAATCAGAATGTATTATTATAATTCGTCATAGCCCGATACCAGCTTGAGATATGAAGTGTTAAAATCGACCTCCTCGTGATCAATATATTGCTAGTGTTCTGTCTAAATTGTCTGTCTAGAATAAAGGACGCTGTTGCGTGGGACAAAGCATTATAGATGTATACGGACCAGCTGTGACTTCATCACTGTATGTATTTTGTCCTCCGGGTGTATACCGGAGAAATACAGTAACGACAATACAAGTGTATGACAAATGAGACCCTGACTTCCTGGTGTAACTCAAGTGTTTTAGAAATCAACAATAAATCATGAGATTTATATTACGATACTTTTACCAATCAACTCCGTTTTAACGACTTTTATGGGCTCATAAACGTTTATTTGACTACAAGCAGAAAACCTACCCATATATTTTGCAACAAAATTTCACATACACAAATGACACGTTATAGATAATTTTACAGCCTCGAAGTCGGCATTTAGATCAACCATTGTTATTCATTTCATCGCTTCCGGAGACCAATAAAATGTTCGTATAATCACAAAAAACTTAAACGATAAAATTTTCCTTCAAAGTCTTTAAGGAGAAGGGGTTACAGTCTACATGAGAAAGGCAAAAAAGGAGGACTGCCCTTGACAATAAAAAAAAAAAGTTATCATTGCTCTTGAGAATGGGTAACGAAATATACCTGTAAATTTATATTGCCCTTGGCAAAGGTCAAAATGAAGACGTACATTTTGCAGTTGGCAAAGGCAAAACGGGAAGAGTGAGACTGCCCTTGACAATGGTACAACGGGAAGTATAATATGACTTTGGCAATAGACAATTATTGAAAAATAGAATTGCCCTTTGCAGGAACTTTTATACAAGAAAACGTATAAAATTGAACAAGAAAAATGGACTGGCAAATCATCTCTTTATATTATCCAAGGATAATAGAGGGATATTGGTTTCGACCAAGGTTGGAAATGTGAAATCGCATTAACAACGACTATTGGTGGAAGGGTAGGTTTGTTCTTAACAAAATGAAATGATAATTTTTTAAATTTATAGCATGAATGTTATAATAAGATGTTTTTTAACGAAAATATTGGTAGTAAAGACCTCCCTTTTCAATTAACTCTTATTTATAGCACTAAGGGATATAAGAAACACGTCTGTTACTGTAGAGTTTATAGTTCGTTCCATCATGTTACACTGTCAATGACATATATCATGAAAATAACCAATGTGTTTGTGATAATACGTTTAAACACTAGACCCCCAACAGATGATAATCTCATGGCACCATGAATACAAAGTAGTTCCCCAGATTGATACACCAAAGGAAAAATGACAAACACATTTCTATGCTGAAGCTGATAGTGGCAATGGTTCTGAAATACTTGTATTTGTTTAATGTTTGTGTGTTTAATGTATTGTGAGATAGACCCTGCAGACTTGTTATCTCAATAATCAATATGGCAGGACACTAAAGCAGTTTAAAAAGTCATGCACAGGTATTGAGCTATCAGAGAACGCATCCATGCAATAAAACGCCATGGTGTTGATAATATGGTGATGCATTAATTGAAACAACACTTCATCACTAGGGACGCTAGTGCATCCGCATTACAATCCGTGTCAAACAGGTAATTTGTATTCCGATGAGAGAACAGCGGGTGTAAAATGTATATAGCAGATCAGAAAGTGAGTCGTCACCATAGCGTTCTATCAATAGATATAATGAGCTTTATCGCAGAGCACTGTTTGCTTGATATTATTTTGTATTATTTAATATATACAT